TGGATGTGCACAAGTCCATGGATTCTGATGAAATCCATCCGCAGGTCCCGAAGGAGCTGGTGAATGAAGTTGCTAAGCCGCTGGCCATCATACTGGAAAAATTGTGACAATCAGGTGAAGTTCCTGACGACTGGAAAAAGGGAAATATAACCCCCATTTTCAAGAAGGGGAAAATGGATGACCCAGGGAATTACAGACCAGTCAGTCTCACCTCTGTGCCTGGCAAAATCTTGGAGCAGATTCTCTGGGAAGGCATGCTAAGGTACATGGAAAACATCAAGGTGGCTGGTGACAGCCAGCATGGCTTCACTAAGGGAAATCCTGCCTGAGCAATTTGGTGGCCTTCTATGATGGGGCTATGGAACTGATGGGCAGGGGTAGAGCACTTGATGTCATCTACCTGGATTTGTGCAAAGCATTCGACATCCTTGTCTCTAAATTGGAGAGACATCAATTTGATAGGTGACCCACTCGGTGGATAAAGAACTCTGGCTGGATGGCTGCACGCAAAGAGCTGTGGTCAATGGCTCAACGTCCAGCTGGAGACCAGTAACAAGTGGTGTCATTCAGGGATCAGTGTTGGGGCCGGTCTTGTTCAACATCTTTGTCACTGACATGGACAGTGGGATTGAGTGCACCCTCAGCAAGTTTGCTGATGACACCAAGCTGTGTGTTTTGGTTGATACACTGGAGGAAAGGAATGCCATCCAGAGGGACCTTGACACGCTTGGGAGGTGGGCAGATGCCAACCTCATGAAGTTTAACCATGCCAAGTGCAAGGTCTTACACCTGGGTCGGAGCAATCCCAGGCACAGATACAGGTTGGCCAGAGAAGATTCAGAGCAGCCCTGCGGAGAAGGACTTGGGGGTGTTGGTCGATGAGAAAATGAACATGAGCCATCTGCAGTGTGCATTCGCATCCCAGAAAACCAACCGTATCCTGGGCTGCATCAAAAGGAGCATGACCAGCAGGTTGAGGGAGGTGATCTTGCCCCTCTGCTCTGCTCTCGTGAGACCTAACTTGGAGTATTGTGTGCAGTTCTGGTGTCCTCAACAGAAAAAGGACATGGAACTGTTGGAACAAGTCCAGAGGAGGGCCACGAGGATGATCAGGGGACTGGATCACCTCCTGTATGAGGACAGGCTGAAAAAGTTGGGGCTGTTCAGGCTGGAGAAGAGAAGCTGCATGGAGACCTCCTAGCAGCCTTCCAGTATCTGAAGGGGGCCTATAGGGATGCTGGGGGGGGGGACTCTTCATTAGGGACTGTAGTGATAGGACAAGGGGTAATGGGCTAAAACTTAAACAGGGGAAGTTTAGATTTGGTATAAGGAAGAAATTCTTTACTATAAGGATGGTGAGGCACTGGAATGGGTTTTTTAAGGAAGTTGTGAATGCTCCATCCCTGGCTGTGGTCAAATCCAGGTTGGGTAACATGGTTTAGTGTGAGGTGTTCCTGCCAACGGCAGGAGGGTTTGGACTACATGATCTTAAGGTCCTTTCCAACCCTAACTGTCCTATGATTCTACGCCATTATCATTTGCAATCATGTCATACATAACAATAGTGCTGTGAAACAGTTGGCAGTCATGATTTGGTTCCACACAAGGGAGCTCATTTCATGATTAGGTATCAATATTTCAAACATGATAAGATTCAGTGTATTCTTTTGTGGTGGGATAAGCATTGTCCTGCAGGTGTCTATCACTGCTATGCATTATCACCACATTTTTAACTGTCCTGGGTTTAGCAGTGGCAGTCATTTTTCTCTTTCTTGGTAGCTGGTGCAGTGCTGTGTTTTGACTTTCAGCTGGGAACAGAGCTGATAAAAATGATGTTTTGGTTTGGCCAAGGACTTTGTGAGTCTCATGCTCTGCCAGGGAGGAGGGGAGGCCGGGAGGAAGCAGAGACAGGACACCTGACCCAGACTGACCAAAGAGGTATTCCATACCACAGCACGTCATGCCCAGGGGGGAACTGGGAGTGACCCGGAAGGACAGGGGTCGGACTGGTGGTTCGGCGCGTGGTATTGTACTCCTTTCCCTTGCTATTTTCTCTTATCATTGTTGTCGTCGGTGATAGCGGTGGTGATTCGTATTGTACATTAGTTGCTAGACTGTTCTTATCTCAGCCCGTGGGAGTTGCATTCCTTCGATTCTCCTCCCCATCCCTCTGGGAGCGGGGAAGGGGGGGGGGGGGCAGCCCCTGGGGAAGGGGGGGGACGGACTAACGTGGGCCTCGATTGCTTCCAGCCTGGCACCACTCACTGGGAGTAAGTTGTCTGGCTTGGTTTAAACCACGACATTAACGTTCTTGCGGTTTTTGCATCTCATTTTCATACAACCGGCAGTATGATTTAGAGGATACATGAGGATGACTGTCTCTAAACTTTTTATATAACAGCAACTAAAAGGTGATATCCTTGTCCACCTGAGCTCCTTACATCTTCCCACTGCTACAAACACTTTTGCAACAGGAGAGCTGACCTAAAGCTTTCAGCCGATTTAATAGATTTTGTTTAAAGTTCAGAATAAGATGAGACTGATACCATTCTGTTAAACAAGTTATAGTGATGGTATTTCAATACAATGACACAGTCACTTCTGCATCGCAACTATGGTGTGACAACAGGGCTACAACTTAAAGGGGGGGAGACACATCACAGTGTGAAGATGTGGGGTAAGAAAAATAATGTTTTTCTGTGAAAGAGGCACTAAATAGTTGATCTGGACAAGATAAGCAGATAGGGGATCTACAATTCTGGCTACTCAGGACTGCCTCAGGCAAGCAAGGACTTGTACTTGCATTTTAAGCGATCTCACAAAGGACTCCTTGAGTTTGGCTAGAGCTAAGGTACAGCGCATCAAAACCTACTCACCTTTCTGATCTAGTCCTGGTTCCAGTCAGAATATTTTTGAATGCTTCCAGCTCTTTAAGCCCCTAATATGTTCACATTTTGAACTCATACAGAATAGAAAAAAAAACATATATCATGCTGGCAAAACACACAGTTTGCACGTGTATTTGTATTCATTTTTCAAGCTATTTGTATTTCTTTTCACCTAGTGAGGGCTTAATGGTTTCACCATGAATACTTGTCCATTCACATGCAAATTTAGCATGCAGATAAAATTTGACAATTTTTTCCACAAAGAAGAGATTGTATTTTATGCTGTGACATTTCTGTTCTTTATTTCCTGGAGTGTTAGACACTTCTAAAAGGTAGAATAGATAAATTTGGTATGGAAACGTTCATTTCAGAGGGAAGTGTGCCTTTTTCAAAGCGAAGGGAAAATATTACAATAACTAAGAAAATAATTAATAATACTTAGCAATTTTAAACTGTCTTTCTTCCAAGTGTCTCAAAAGCGTATTGCAAAGAGTAGCCAACACTGTGTCTCTAACACCCCCCCCCCCCCCCCCCCCCCCCAACAAAAAGGAATTTCTGCAGCAAAGGGAAAGCTGGTGCCCGTAAGAGCATGTACTATGATGCAGATGTGAGAGAAGGAAGCACACAGAAGCACTGAAAGCACACAGAAGAACTGAAAAAGTGCCTAAGCATCTGAGAGCCCCTTGAACAAGATCTGCCTAAGCGAACATCTCCAGGGAAGGCACATTCCTCAGTGGATCAGGGGCTCACGGCAGACAGTGGCATACAGTGGAGTTTTCTCGAGGCGGGGAAACCCAGGCGAGCACCAAGTTCTGCTGGGAATCAGGTGGGGCCACCCTAAGCTCCTGCAAAAGGCAGCGCTGGGAACACAGAGAACAGGGCATAGAAGGGTGTGCAGGGAGGGCAGGCACCTCTTGGAAGGAGAGACATTCCAAGGCCGCCTGCACAGGTCAGGGCACACATGCCACGTAATCCTCAAGGAAGAAAGGTGGGCACTTATCAGAGAGCAAAGGCTGCGGCTCCAGCAGGGTGACCTGCACCATCTACGTTGGTGGTGGCCAGTGCCTTTGCTTGGATGGAGTGGCTGAAGGGGATGCCTGCAGTGGAGGAGGTTGTGAGGCACTGGAACAGGATGCCCAGAGAAACTGTGGATGTGTGGCCCTGACTTCTGTGCACTCTGTCAGCGGTACTCCCAATGACCATGGCCGGGCCGATGAGGGTGGCCGGGGCGCAACCGCTGCCCAGCAGCTCCTGACTGGCCTATCCACGCTGCGTGTGAAGGACACCATGGCCTTGGAATTGTGGTTAAAACTTTAATCAGAAAGACCCATTTTCTTAAACAGGGCTTAAGTGTTGCCTGGCTTTTCAGAAGGAGCAGCACAGCGCCCGCCGGATCCATCCCCGTCTTGGCTGCTCGTGTAAACAGGTGAGGATGTGCATTGTCTGAGCTGCCAGGCATGAGATCTGGGGTTCGTCTTCTCTTATCAAACCATGGAGGGCTGCAACAGAAGGAAAGAGAGCAGAGCTCAAACCCACCAATCTGCAGAGGCCAGCAGGCATCCCTTCCAGACCATGCCAGCCCCAGCCATCCCTTTCCCTGGTCAGGAGGCGCAGGTGGGGCAAAAGGATCACGTGGAACCTGCTGCTCAGGAATGCAACAAATGCCCCCGAGATGTTCCCTGGAGCAGGACAGAGCATGGCAGCACGCTGCCCAGGCTCTGTCCCCTGCCCCACCAGCCCCAGCACACACAGCACTGTCCCTGCTTACCTTCCCAGACCTTCAGGAGCATGCCCGTGCCGTTGTCCTTCAGGCACCGCGCGGCCAGCCCTGTGCAGAGAGCTCCATCAGACCCACTGCTCCCCAGCACGCTCCCGGCAGCACGGCCCCGCCTCTGCCGGTTTGGCTGCACCCCTTCTTCCCCTCAGCAGGGTGACCCCAGGGAAGGACAGGACCCAGGGGGAGGTGGCACTGAGCAAGGTGCCACTGAGCCCTGCTGCGAGGGCAGGGGTTGGAGGGGGGCTGCACAGGCCTTGCACGGGGCAGTCGATGCTCTGGCAGCCACAGGGCTGCTCCTCACTGCCAGTGCATCAGATGGGACTGGGGCCAGGCTGCCAAAAGAGGGACTCCAGGGGCTGCGGCTTACCGATGAACCTCACGGCTGCCAGTCTCACGCTGACCTGAGCGTGCTGCAGGTAAAGCAGGCTCTGACACACATATTCTTCAGCTCTGCTCTGCTCCTGCTCCAGCTGGAAAGAGCACAAAGGCCCAGGGCTGACACAGAGCTTCCCCAGTCACCTGGGCCGTTCCCTCCTTCCAGCACCCCACACCTCCCCTTGTTCCTCAGGCCACATGCATCTCCCAGCCAGGAGGCCTGTGGGGCTGAGGCTCAGAGACAGCCTCAGGCAGAGCAGGGTCTGGAGCTCCTGAGAGCCCCCTGTGCCACCACCAGGGCCCAAATGGGCCTCCTGCAACAACCTGAGGGTGGGGAGGTGAGAGGACCACCCTGTGTCCAGCCTGGGACTTGTCCTCACCAAGAGTTCCACAGTTCTCCATCTCTCCAGTGTCTCCACGTGGGGACTTAGCCCTTTGCATTTGAGCACCTTCGCAGCTGCCCAGAGGGCTTCCTGAGAGGCCTGCAGGGGGGGACAAGGATTGTTGAGATTGTGGACAGGGATAGGGACCCAAAGGCCTGGCCCCCAGCACTTGCAGGGACAGGTGGGAAGCCCCTGCAGACTCCGCTCTTCAGGCCTTGGTGGTCATGCCCTGCTGGACCACGTAGGGCAGGTGTGGGAAATGTCTGTGTCAGCTGCTCTTGCCCTCCCTGATGCCCAGGCCACCCCTGCGGGCTCAGCACGCCCTGCCCCGCACCACTGCTTAGGTTTGGAATCTGTACCTTGGCCACGCTCTCGATCTCATCACTCATGTGCAACACGAGTGGGACCAGGCTCCTCTGCACCTTCTTCTTCATCTGCCGCTTGTCCTTCCGATCCGCCATCTGTATTATGTCTTTGAAGAGGCAGATGGAGAGCTCTCGCGTCTGGCTGCACTCCTGGTAAGGAGGAGGACAGGACTTCTTCAGTAACAGCTGCTCCCTGAGCCAGGGCATCAGCGTGGCTGAGGGGAGGGGCCTCAGGTCTCCCAGAGCCATCAGCCTCTGAGGGAGCAGCTGGGCTGGGCTGCAGAGACCAGAAACCATCCCCGCGAGAGCGCAGGGGCATGAGGAGGGGCATAGCCCTGAGCAAGCGCTGTCGCCAGGCTGTGCTGCCAGGCAGTTGTTCTTGCAAAGGGCCCATTAGTGGGACTAGGTTTCCACAGCAGCCTTACATCATCAAAGAGCTGAAGGAGCTGCTCAGCCAGCTCCAGAGCGATGGAGTTGACCTGCTTCTTCAAATGACCCAGTACGTATCTGAATATGAGCAGGCCCCTCATCTTGTCGTCTCTGTGGGCACTCTGCAGGGCCTTCGTCAAGTCTGGCAGCATGAGCAGTATTTTCCTTGCCTGTAAGAAGCACGGAATTTCTTTCTTGTGAAGTGGTGAAAGACCACCCAGGCCAAAATGCTCTGGCCATTAAGCAGCAGCCTCCCGTCTGGGTGCATGGGCGGTGGGGTGGCACAGGAATTCCCGCAGCAGCCTCCTGGCAGGCCTTGCCCGTGGGTGCACTGAGGGGATGGGGGCACGGGAGGGGACTTTGAGGGCATTTGGAGCCGTCACCCCAGCTCCCGACCCCCAGCCCAGGTCAAGCCACCGCGTTCCCCACTGCCCAGCCCCAGGCGGCCAGCATGGCTTCACTTGACTATGCCCTGCTCACCGAGTCAGGTGACTGTGACAGTGTGACGAGGCCTTGGAGCAGCAGGGAGAACAGCCTTGGAGGCAGCATCAGCTTCTGGATTTTGTACACCGCAGCAAACATGGTTGGTGTCACATGGCTGGAGGCCAGCAGCTGAAACAAAGATGGCAGTGAGAGACCGACCAAGCCTGCACAGTACAGCCCCTGGGTCCCACTGGCGGCTCAGGGCAAGGGCACCGGGGATGGAGAGCCTGTCCTAGGGGACACTCGGCGCTTGTGGGACACACCACACGCTTGTCTGTGCTGGTTCCGCCTGTGCAAGCAGAGCACTGCCTGGGCAGACAGGGGCTTTGTGCACCCGCACCCAGACAGCGTGGCCCTGCGTGGCTGGGGCAGGGGAACCTGGTGCTGGGCTGGCCCTAAGGGGCTGTGTCCTCCTCTGTGACCATTTGCGGCAGGTGGCAGGGGAGAGGGCCGTGCCTGTTTTCCTGGACTGGCAGGCATGGCCCTGAGCACGAGCAAGGACCGGGCTGGTTACTCACAGCCAAGAGCTGGATGCACATGTACACTCTCCGGGAGTTGAATCTCCATCGCAGACTCAGGTAGTGGAACCTCATGTTCAGCTCCCTCAGGACGTTCTCCAAGACAAGACGCCGGGACAGCAGCACTTCCCACATGCCCATAGCAACACTGCAGACACAGAGCACTCTGTCGGCAGGGCCACCTCAGCCACCACACGGTGCCTGGGCCAGTCCTGCAGCAGCCAGGCTGTCCTGAAGCCCTGGCCCTTCCCAACCCCTTGCTTGGAGTGCCTGGGTCGGCAGGAGGCGGCTGAGATGGTGTTCCCCATGGGGTAGGGAGGAATCTTGTGCGGGAACTCGGATCTGGCTTGGCCAGCTTTGGCTCCTGCAGGCCTGGCCGACCCAGCAGGGCTGGAGAGAGTGGTGGGGTTCAGGGCCCTGCTCCTCAGGGGTGCCCTGGAGTTTTCTGTGAGCCCCCAGGCCCCTCTCCCCACACGGAACAAACCCACAAGGGCTGTGGGGGTCAGTACCTGTCACATGCTGGAGACAGATGCACAAGTCTCAGGATCACAGCCGCTGGCCTCTGCTGTGCCATCTTTAGAAGCAGCATGTCCAGGGCGTGCTGGGTTGACACTGTGTTGATGTGCTCCAGGTTGTTGTAGATGCAGCTAATGATGACTGGCACCTGGAGGGCACAGGAGTGAGGGTGGTGCTGCCACCAGACTGGAGCCATTTCCTCAGCTGCCACTGAAATGGCCGCCCTTCCCATCCTGCTCTGCTGGCATGAAATGGCTTCAAGGTGCCTGAGGCACCTGCGTGAGGGAAGGCTCGATGCAGGGAGGAACAGTGCCTGAAAGGGCTCAAGGGCAGGGCAGCCACACGCTGCTTACCTCTGTCAGCCAGGAGGCAGGATCTGTCATGGCCACATCCACAATGCTGATCAGCTCCTCCTTATCGCATATGCATGAGTCTCTCATGGCCTCGATGGCCTTGAGAAGGATGACCGTCTTATGACGGGGGTGGAGGTGTTCCGCGAATGCCTGTGGGAGGAAGGAAGGCAGGAAAGACGTCTCACACCGAGTGCCCTGGTAGTGCTGCTCAGCTGAGCAGCGAGAGCAGCTCTGGCGAGTGTACCCACAGGAAAGCTGGCAGCAGCGGCTGCAGTCGCTGCGGGGTGGAGGATGAGGAAAGAGGGGCCAGGGTGAGGGAGGAGGGCTGGGGCCATGGGCACAGTGTGCTGGCCCTACAGAGAAGCAGGGCTTCCTGGTAGCCAGGAGAGCTGGAGCTGCTGCTGGGACACCGGAGTGCAGCCCTCTGGAGTCCCTGCTTCAGAGCAGCATCAACCCTCTCACCAGGGACAGTGAGACCGTGCCAAGCCCGCTGGTTGTGGGCCCCTTTGCTCACACCAGTCTCCTGCTGATGTCCTGGACAAGGCCCAGCAAGGGAGAAGCTCATTACCTTGACAATGCTCCTGGTGCTGCACAGGGAAAGCCAGGAGGGTTTCCCGGCTTTCCTTTTGCCTCCACGCAAAGGTCTGAGGAGATGCTTTAGACTGTCCTTTGGTGATGTCGCACCTAAACAAGAGGGGATCACAGAAGAGTCATTAGGACACAGCATTGCTTACCATCAATGATGGCTTTGGCTATGGGGACCATGGAACAGCTGGGTTCTGAGAGGTCCTGAGAAGAGTGGGAAGGAGAGCAGCACAGGACTGGACTTGTGGTGAGCATTCAGCTTCTGCAGCAAAACGATAGCTGGGATGCTGTGGGAAAGCAGCTGTGAGGGCCAAAGGAGGTGAGGGAAGAGGGCAGGCTTTCCTGGACATCCTCCAGCAAGTACAAAAAGAATCCACTGCAATGCTCGGGGAAACAAGCAGGACTATGAGGAGATGTCTGTGTGCGGAGGGACGCAGCCCGACACAGCTTCTCTTACATTTTTCCTGATGGATGAATCTGCAGAAGTAATGAAGAGCATCCAAAGCCTCACGCTGGATCTCCCAGATCTTGCTAGTCCAGCAAACAATGAGATGTCCCAGCAGCTGTCCCAGGAGGCGGTCATGGATAGCGTCGCCGTGGGAAGAGCTGTTGTCATCTCCAAGCAAGCTCCAGACCTGGTCAAGGGAAGCAGGATGGGTAGAAGGGCTGAGAGGCAGCAGCTGCGACAAAAGCCCTGAACGGAGAGTCTGCCCCAGGGAAGGATCCTGGCAGGTCAGAGCTCTGCAGGGCCCTCCCAAAGCACCAAGCTGGGCAGCAGGGCAGGGAGAGCTGCCAGGCCTGGGTTCCCGCCATGCTCCTTGGGCAGTGCTGTCCTGCACAGGACTGGGGCCCGAGATGGCTCCTGGCAGAAAGGGCGCTGGGGAGGGAAGACCATGGGAAAAAGAAAGAAGCCGAGACCCTTGCCCAGGGCAGAGCTGTGCTGAATGCCTCAGGCATCTCAAGCTGCAGGCTGCCGCCCACGGTGGGCAGGGAATGGGAGACAGCCTGGCTGGAGGGTGTCTGCCTCCTTACCTGCACTGAGGAAGAGCTGTCCATCAAATCGGCCAGCTTCCCAATCCTCACCACGGCCCTTTCACACGCAGCTGCATTCTTCATGTCAGTGAAAGGCAGCAGCATCTGGAAGGAGAGAAAGTGCTGCTGTGCCCTGGGAACTGGTGCCTTTGCCAGCAGCAGCACTGCTCAAGACCCAACTGGACCCATGCAGTCTTTGTGGCCCTGAAGGGAGGCAGATGCCAACCCAGGGTAGAGTCTGCTTCTTTCTGTGCCCTCCCCAAAAGCACAGGCCTGTGTCCCCTCTCCATGAAGGCTCAGCTCTTGGGCAGCACCCTGCCGGGGGGTGGTGGGGCTGCAATGGGGGAATGGGCATACGGCTCTCTAGGAAGCCAGGAGTGCAGAGCGTCAGGGCTGGGCTCCCTGTGCAGGAGAGGCAGGTTCCAGTGGGTCTCTGCCCCAGTCAGACCTGGGCAGAAAAGCAGGAGGGACTGTGAGGCAGGGGAAGAAGGACAGCACCCGCAGCCACTGCTGCGGTGCCTGAGGAGAGGGGTCAATGCTTCCCACTCCTTTGGTGCGAGGAAAGCTCTGGGGATGGAGCTGGCCCAAAAGTGCCATGGGCTGGGCTTTGCCATGGTACAGAAGGAGGCTGCAGAGAGGAAATTACGTTGACTGCAGCCAGGGACACGCTGCTCCTGGAAGAGCACGGTGGGCCATGTCTGGGTCCCACAAGGGAGCTGAGCACCCTTCCTGTGGTGTGCTGTGTGTGTGTGGTGCTGGGGAGGACACCGTCCTGTCCCTCCAGGGTGAGGAACAGCCCCTGCAAACCCCGCTCTCTGCCAGTGCCGCACCTGCAAGATACTCTTCAGCTCCCCACAGCCAGGGGAGCTGAGCACCAAGCTCTTCAGCAAGATGTCCATGGCATCCAGGGTCTGCAAGGAGAAGAAAGACTGTGTCAGTCTTTCTGCAGTCCCTCTCTCCCTAGAGACGGGTCTAACTCCCCCCACCAGGGGAGGACACCCCTGCCACCCCTGGTTGGCCAAGGGAGGCCTTCGGGCAGACAAGCTGCGGTGGGCAGAGGAGCCAGTCCAGAGGCATTGGACATGGCGAGGCCCAGGGGAAGGAGATGAAGGGACGAGGATGGGAAAGCAAAGCTGACACCCTGCTGTGCCTTGGATCTCTGGCTGTGTCTCAGCACATGGCAGCCAGGGAGCAGCTCTGAGTGCTCCTGACAGCACAACAGCACTTACATCAAAGTAGAGGGAGCTGTCTAGGCCCTGCATGTCTGTTTTAGGAGGAAGCAAGAAGACACTCCTGAAGCAGGCCTCTAAAAGGCTTTTCTTCATGCCCCCCAGTGCCATCTCCACTTTGCTGAAAAGAGAGAGAGAGGGAACTGTGAGACGCGGGCGCTGGGAGCGCTGCCTCCATGCCTTGGGCAGGTGGACACAGACCTGTGGAGCAGAGGCCCGCAAGAGGGATGGAGCTCTGGTCTGCAGGAGCCAAACCAAGGGCTGAGCACATACCTCATATTGGCGAGGGCAAGCATGGCTTCCTGCCGCACGGCTGTGTGCAGGTGGTCCATGGGCTCCTCTTCCAGCAATTCCTGCAGAACACAACCAGGATGGGACCTGGTGGCCACCAGCACCAGGCTCTGCCCCCAACCCAGCAGTGGCCCCCAGCACAGCTTGCTGCAGGGCTGCTCAGTGACACGCGCATCCCCTCAGGCAGCTCAGTGTCTGTCCAGGCACGTTGGTCCCTGCCCTCCCCCTGCATGGGTCCTGTGTGTCCTCACAGTGTGCTGGCGCCTGGCAACTTGCCCCCTTCCCCAGAGCAGCCGGGTGTGCCCTCACCTCGATGTTCTCTGCCACCTCAAATCGGTGATAGAACTCCTTCAGTTCCTGTGAGAAGCCCTCATCTCTGGCAGCCTCGCTCAGGGTGGAGATGGTCTGCAGGAACTGGATCTTCTGAGCCTCCTCCTGAGCAGCCGGGGAGCAGAGACACAAACGGGCAGTGTGAGAAGGGGCCAGCAAGACTGGAACAGTGGAGCTGCAGTGCTGTGCAGGAACCCAGGGGAGCAGCCCCTCCCAGCCATCAGCCCCCAGCAGCCCTGGAAGTGGAGCCGGTGGCCCCGTCAGGAAACGCAGACACTGCTACCCTGGAAATGGCTGCAGTTACCTTCACTGAGCTCTCCAGAAAAGTCTGGACGAACCGCATGGATGCAGCGTGTTCCTCCACCATCCTCGTCAGACAAAGGTATAGGGTGGGGAACGAAGAATGTTCCAAGTAGTGTCTCGGCACCGCGGGGCTGCTGGGGCAACAGGGAGCAATGTGGGCTGCGCTCAGGGGTCTGCACCAGTCTTGCGCTCCCGCTCTGTCCCGTCACCGTCCTGCCGGACACTGCCACGAGGGGTATGAGCCGTTGCCTTTTATACAGTGGCCGGGGGGGTCACCAAGGGCGCGTCACAAAGGGCACCATGGTGGGTCAGAAAGGGAACGTCACCGAGGGCACCATGGTAGGTCATAAAGGGCAGGTAACTAAGAGCACCATGGTAGGTCATAAAGGGTGCGTCACTTAGAGCACCATGATGGGTCAGAGAGGGCATGTCACAAGGGGCTGAGGTCGCCATGGTGGGTCATGAGGGACATGTCACAAAGCGCTGGTCACAGAGGGTCACCATGGTAGCCCACCACTCAGACCATAAGGGACAGGGTATTCCTGTGAGGGGCACAAGGCCTGTTCTCCCCTGGTCACTTGAGTCCCCTTGGGGTGCCCTGAGCCCCATGTTTTGCTCATGTCATATGGGGTCTTGTTACAGCAAGATAACTGGCATGTGTCATGATGTTCACAGCCAGACTAGTCAAGAGGTGTCACAAAGACCTTGAGTAGAACTGCACGCGCACAATTCAGTTTAACGTGTGTTAAACTGAAAGAGAAAGAATTCTAAGGCAATTTTTTTCACTTGCTTTTTCTGTTTTTCAGTTACAAAAAAGCAATGATTAGGATGCATTTTTTAGGAAGACAATAACTACCAAAAACTTCAACTAGATTTTGAAAATATTCTGTTTCTCTGGATGATAACCAGCAAGTTTTCTGCAGCAATGAGCTCTGACATTTAGACTCGAGGAAAAAACGTTGCTTGATACTAAGATGTTCTGGACAAGCAGGTGCCAGTTCAGTGTGATTTTTGAAAGCATAAGGAGTCTTTTTGGCTACACAGCTACAGGTTGGGCAGGGAAGAGATTCAGAGCAGCCCTGCAGAGAAGGACTTGGGGGTGCTGGCTGATGAGAAAATGAACATGAGCTGATTCAGTGTCTGCTTGCAGCCCAGAAAGCCAACCACATCCTGGGCTGCATCAAAAGGAGCGTGACCAGCAGATCAAAGGAGGTGATCTGCCCATCTGTTCTGCTCTTGTGAGACCTCACTTGGAGTACTGTGTGCAGTTCTGGTGTCCTCAACATAAGAAGGACATGGAGCTGTTGGAACAAGCCCAGAGGAGAACCACGAGGATGATCAGGGGACTGGAGCGCCTCCTGTATGAAGACAGGATGAAGAAGTTGGGGCTGCTCAGGCTGGAGAAGAAAAGGCTGCGTGGAGACCTCATAGCCGCCTTCCAATATCTGAAGGGGGCTTAGAATGATGCAGGGGAGGTACTCTTCATTAGGGACTGTAGTGATAGGACAAGGGGTAACAGCTTAAAACTTAAAAAGGGGAAGTTAAGATTGCATATAGGGAGGAAGTTCTTTAAGGGTGGTGAGGCACTGGAATAGGTTGTCCAGGGAAGTTGTGAATGCTCCATCCCTGGTGGTGTTCAAGGCCAGGTTGGACAGAGCCTTGCAGTGACATGGTTTAGTGTGAGGTATCCCTGCTCATGGCAGAGGTGCTGGAACTTGATGCTCTTAAGGTCGTTTCCAACCCTAACTATTCTATGAAAGAAAAATGGTGTGCCTAACTTCCCCTTCCTTGTTTGATGACTTTGTACTTCTTGTTTATTACTGAGTCGAACATTGCGTGCCTCTTTGTATTGGAAATCACCATGGCCTCACGCAGGTGGTGTATTCAATAAGCCAGTCAAATTTTGTTATTTCTACACCTGTATATGGGATGCCTGAAAAATGTGACATGCCTGTCACATAAACAGGAAAACGGCTCTTGTAGGGGACTTGAGTGTAGCTGAAAGCCTCATCCAAATAGCACTGTTAGTCATCTCCGTATAGAAACATTTCAGTGCCACCCAAGTTTGGAAAACGTGGTTGCAACTAGCTTCCACATGCTGGATAAATGAATAGATACCAGATATTGTCTTACACATTTGAGTCTTTTAGTAAAATCAATCTGAGACACAAATATTCTACAAATGGCAGTTGTGGGTGAAAGCCTGCATGTGAAGATTAGTATTTACACAGGAACAGGGCTGGACCTGCACAGGAACAGGGTTGGGGTTTCTCTGATCATCTGAAGTTTCTGGTATTAGTAAAAGCCAGAGAGGTAGTGTACATCATTGAAGATGCAGTTGTCAGAGATGGAATACCACATACTTTTAAGCTCTGGCTACTGTATCGGTAAAAGCTGAGTAAATTTTCTTAAAAAGAATACCTGGTAATACAACAGACTGATGACATCCGTTTTAGGCATGTATAATAATTAGGCACTCTCAAAATCCATATTTTCATTATAAAAATCTATGTGTTATATTCTGTGTCTGGTTTGGATTTTTTAAATGCAAAACCAGATTGCTCCGTGTGAAGTTCATACCTCTCATTCCTTGTAGCTTGCTTCATCTCTAAAACCTTTCTTCCTCTGACCTCTTACATAGGTTTTTGAAAGCATAGTAAAAGGGCTGGTTAACAAAAGAAAGTAGAGTACAAGTTAGTGTGTTGCCATGAGTAGGTATTTAGTGTATTCCTGGAAAAGTAAACCATTGTGTTGAGGGGTTTGTTGTTTTGTTTTGTTTTGAAGTATCCTGTTTATTGTTTGTGGATCGTTGGGAGTGTAGGATCCAGACTGCAAATTTGACATGGTTAACCTGGCATTGCCGGTTCAGTATTAAAGTACAAATTCTATGATTGGAATTAAACTTTAAATTCCCATTCTTTAGAGAAACCAAGTTCTCCAAGACCTTATTTTAAGGCACAAGTGAGAACATAAAATAGTAACTTACTTTGCTCAATATAGGTTTCATGTGTGTGGCAGTTACACCCTTTAGTCACTTGTCAGATGATCATGGGTCTGAGGATAATAACCAAATGGGCCAGTTCTGTTTGTAGAAGCTGTCTGTGCTTGTTGCAGTTCTCTAGCAGAATCTATTGTGAGCTGTGTAGGTGTTTTCTCTGACTATCAGAATAGTAGACTACCTGAGAAATGGAGCTCAGTCCCATTTTTATAGCACACAGTAGCTACCAACTGGCACAGCAGTTGCACAGGGCCCAAGTCTTCATGTAGTCCTGCAGTTGTTTTGCTCCATAGGTGCTTAAACTCTGCAGATATACTGTAGCACCTCTCAAAGTGATAATGGACTAAGTTTTAAGAAACTAAAGTTGAGATACTGTGGTGTTGGACAAAATGAAACATGCACAGTGTTTAGAATCAAAATAAATGGTTACAAGAGTGGTGCCATAGTCAGGGGATTGGGTATTTAGAGCATGGGACTCAATTTGGGAGGCCAGGTTTACTGGAGGCTGGTGGAGCTGGTCTGACAACGAAGGGGAAGAGTGGTTTTGGTAGGAAGCTTGCCAGACCAGTCAAGAAAGCTTTAAACTAGATGTGTTGAGGGAGGGGAGCATCATTCCATCCCAACACACCCAGTCAGTTGCCAGCACCTATAATGAATGCTAGGAGCAATGTAGAGATATTCCAGCTCCAGCCAATGAGCCAGCTTCATTTGGAGCTCAATTCAGATGCCTCTATGCAAACACCCGTAATATGGGGAACAAACAAGAGGAATTAGAGATGTGTGTACGTCTACGGGGATACGATATCACTGGTATCACAGAACCATGGTGGGATGGTTCCTATGACTGGAGTGTTGGAATGGAAGGTTACAGGCTTTTTAGAAAAGACAGGCCTGGCAGGCGGGGATGGGGGGTTGCTATTTATGTTAGGGGTAGGCTGGAAAGTACAGAACTCTGTCTGGGGACAGGTGATTAGTCAACAGAGAGTTTGTGGGTCAGGGTTAAAGGGAGAACAGCAATGGGAGACATTACTGTGGGGATCTGTTACAGACTGCCTGATCAAGAGGACTCTATGGATGAGGCACTCTGTAGACAGATAGGAACAGCCTCACGTTCGCAGGCACTTGTCTTTATGGGGGACTTCAACCACCCTGACATCTGTTGGAGAGAGGGTACAGCCCGGCACAAGTAATCCATGAGATTCCTTGATTGTGTGGAAGACAACATCCTTCTGCAAGTATTAGAGCAGCCAACAAGGAGAGGTGCCATGCTTGACCTCGTGCTCACCAACAAGGAAGGACTGGTTGGAAATATGACACTCCAGGGCAGCCTTGGATGCAGTGATCATGAGATGGTTGAGTTCGAGATCCTCAGGACAGTGAGAAGAGCATGCAGCAAGCTCACTGCCCTAGACTTCAAGAGAGCAGACTTTGGCCTCTTGAGGAACCTGCTTAGTAAAGTTCCATGGGATATAGCTCTAGAGGGCAGAGAGGCCCAAGACTCTTGGTTGATATTCAAGGGTCACCTGCTACAAGCTCAGGAGTGTTGCATCCCAGCTAGAAGGAAGTGCAGCAGGAGGGCCAGGAGACCTCCTTGGATGGATAAGGAGGTGCTGAGGAAACCTAGAGGGAGAAAAGAGGTTTATAAAAGGTGGAAGCAAGGACAGGCAGCCTGGGAAAAATACAGGGATGTTGTCCGGGAAGCTGGGGACCAGATTAGGAAAGCTAAGGCCCAATTAAAATTAAACTTGGCTAGGGTTGTGAAAGATAACAGGAAGGGATACTATAATTACATTGCAGATAAAAGACAGACGAGGGACAACATAGGCCCTCTCTGGAAGCTATCAGGAGAACTGGCTACCCTGGATTTGGAGAAGGCTGAGCTTCTTAATGACTTCTTTGCCTCAGTCTTCACTGACAAATGCTCTGACCACACCACCCAAGTCTTGGAAGGCAGACGCAGGGACTGTGAGAATAAAGACCTTAGGCCCTCTGTAGGAGAGGATCTGGTTCAAGACCATCTTAAGAAACTGAATGTGCACAAGTCCATGGATTCTGATGAAATCCATCCGCAGGTCCCGAAGGAGCTGGTGAATGAAGTTGCTAAGCCGCTGGCCATCATACTGGAAAAATTGTGACAATCAGGTGAAGTTCCTGACGACTGGAAAAAGGGAAATATAACCCCCATTTTCAAGAAGGGGAAAATGGATGACCCAGGGAATTACAGACCAGTCAGTCTCACCTCTGTGCCTGGCAAAATCTTGGAGCAGATTCTCTGGGAAGGCATGCTAAGGTACATGGAAAACATCAAGGTGGCTGGTGACAGCCAGCATGGCTTCACTAAGGGAAATCCTGCCTGAGCAATTTGGTGGCCTTCTA